CGAGGATATAGTAGAAGAGTTTATAATAAAGGGAGAATGCATGTAATAGGAGATTTTAATATAGATCTTATGAGAGATTCGTTTTATGCGAATAAACTGCAAACGACAATGCTAAGCTTAGGTATGAAACAATATGTTAACGAACCGACGAGAATTACGAAAGACAGTCAGACAATTATAGATTTGATCTTCGCTAATAATAATAAAATAGTACAGGTAATTCATGAACCTAAATTACGGATCACGCGTGGCTGAAAGTTGAGCTGAGTGTTAGTAAAACTGAAAGTAAATATAGAGAATTTAGTGCTAGGAATTATAAAGAGTTTGATGAAAATAAATTTGCTATATTAGTGAAAAATAAATTACAAGAAAGCCAGGAATGTCAGTGTGAATGTATGGTGTCAGTGAGAGGGCGAAAAAACTTGTCGATAGTATAGTGGGTGCGTTAGATGTAATGGCGCCGAGGAAAAATTTAGAATTCCGAAAGTTTGGGAAGGGAAGAAATGGTTTTCAGACGAAATAAAAGAGGCTGCGGATAGAAGGGATAAGGCATATAGAAGAGCATTGTATGACGATACCGAACAAAATTGGTCGCAGTATAAATTGAAAGAAATACAGTAGTAAATTAATTAGGGAGAAGAAAAAAGAATATTATGAAAATATGATAGATCTTAATAAAGAAAATCCTACGTCTATGTGGAAAACCTTGAAAGAAATAATTAGAGGCGAGCCAGTAGGCATAAAAGAGGTAGGAAATATAGATTTTGAAATTTTAGGGCGATATCGAAGAGTGCAATATAGCTGATAAATTTAATTTATATTATATACAAAGTATTAATAGTATAATAAACTCTATAAAGGTCGTTAGATCCGGTGATATAATCGATCATTGGATGAATATAAATAAGAAAATTATTTATATTATCGAAAATAAAGGATTTATGGAAAATTTCGTGACTATTAAACTAGAGCAGTTAGAAAAAATTGTTATGGGATTGCCGAAAAAGAAAGGTACGGAAGAGGGAATAACTAGCGATATATTGAGGACAACTTTTTCTGTAATAAAAGAGGAATTTGCGAATATAATAAACAATTCTTTAAGAGAAGGTCTCTGTCCGGAAGGTTGGAAAACCTCTACGATAATACCGATTCCAAAGATAGATAAAGCGAAAAAAGCGAGCGATTATAGGCCTATAAATATGTTACCAATATTTGAAAAAGTGTTAGAATTAGTAGTAAAAGAACAACTTGAAATGTATTTGGAAACTAACGATATTATAACAGAACATCAGTCGGGGTTTAGAAAATATTACTCGTGTGAAACAGCGATTCAAACTGTCATTGACGAATGGAAATTAATAGTAAGCGAAGGAAAAATGGTAGGTGTAATTTTCATGGATCTTAAGAGAGCGTTTGAAACAATAGACAGAGAAAGATTATTAGGAAAAATGTATTATTATGGAATTAGAGGAATGGCCTTAGAATGGTTCAAATCATATTTAAATAATAGGAAACAGCAAGTGCGTTTCAATCATACATGGTCTAAATTATTGACAACAGAATACGGAGTGCCACAAGGCTCGGTACTAGGACCTTTACTATTTATAATATATATATGATATAATCGAAGGCTGTCCAGAAGGGTGCAATATAAAAATGTTTGCAGACGACACGCTTATATATGTAAGTGGAGAAAGTAGCACGGATATAGAGATAAAATTGAACACGGCTTTTAATATAATCGAACGTTGGATGAATATAAATAAGTTAAAAATGAATGCAAGTAAAACGAAGTATGATAGTTAGAAGTATTCGAAAAGAATTGAGAGGTAATACTATTTTGAAATGTCTGGACGGAATTGAAATAGAGCGTGTAGAGACTATGAAATATCTAGGTATAATTATCGATGACAGACTTCGATTTCAAGATCACTGTGATTATATGTTAAAGAAAATAGGTAAAAAAAACGAGTTTCTTAAATAGAGTAGGTAATTACATATCAGTGTATACTAGATGCATTATATATAAGACAATCATAGCTCCTCATTTTGAGTATTGCGCGACGATATTAATAGGCATGGGGGAGACGCAGATAACCCAACTGCAGAAGGTACAAAACAGAGCTATGAGGATAATACTTCAATGTGATAGATACACCAAAGTGGAAGACATGCTAGAGGCGTTGCAATTTATGTCAGTAAGACAAAGATTACAATATAATATATGTATATTTATTTTCAAGATATTGAATAACCTGTTACCAATTCAGTTAAGAGATAAGTTACAAATAGTAGGGAACAAATGCGATAGGGAAACAAGACAAGCGGGTAATATCGAAATTCAATTTCGAAAAACAAGGAGTGCACAGAAAAGTTTGTTTTATGAAGAAGTATATTGTATAACGTCCTGCCAGTAGAAATTAAAACTTGCGATAGGCTCGAATTATTTAAAAGAAGATTAAAGCGCATATCTTACATATGTAAATGTTAAAACTGTATAAGAAAATAGCTGAGAAAGCTAAATAAAAGCTCATCAATCAATCATCTCTTCTCTTGCTCTCTACCGCTCTCCCTCGCGTTCTCTCTCTCTCTGCCCTCTCCGTCTCCTCGTTCTCTCTCGATCTCTCTCTCTCCCACTCTCTCTCGCGTTCTCTCGCTCCTCTCGTCGTCTCTCGCTCCTCTTCTCGTTTTTTTCGCTTTTCCTCTCTCGCTTCTCTCGCTTTTCTCGCCTTCTCTCGTTCTCTTCTCGCTCTCTCGCTTTCTTTTCTTCCGGTCTCTCTCGCTTCCTCCCGCTCTCTCTCGCGCTCTCTCGGCCTCTCTCGCTCTCTCTCGCTCCCTCTCGTCTTCTCTCACTCTCTCTCGGTTTTTTCGCTTTCTCTCGCTGTGTTCCTCGCTCTCTCTCTCGCTTTCTTTCGCTCTCTCTCGCTCTCTCCCGCTTTGTATCGCTCTCTCTCGCTCTCTCTCGCCTCTCTCGCTGTCTCTGTCGCTCGCTCCCTCTTGCTCTCTCCTCTTCTCCGCTCTCTCTCGCGTTTCTCGCCCGCTTCGCTCTCTCTCGTCTTCTCTCGCTCTCTCTCGTTTTTTTTTCTCTGCTCTCTCTCGCTTTCTCACCTGTTTCTCGCCTTCTCCGTTCTCTTTCCGCTCTCTCTTCGCTTTCTGCGCTCTCTCTCTCTCTCTCCCGCTCTCCCTCACCTCCCGCGCTCTCCCTCTCTCTCGCTTTCTCTCGGCCTCTCTTCGCTCTCTCTCGCTCCTCTCGTCTTCTCTCACTCTCTCTCGGTTTTTTCGCTTTCTCTCGCTGTTTCTCGCCTTCTCTCGTTCTCTTCGCCTCTCTCACGCTTTCTTTCGCTCTCTCTCCTCGCTCTCTCCCGCTTTGTATCGCTCGCTCTCTCTCGCTCTCTCTCGCCCTTTCTCGCTGTCTCTCGCTCCCTCTTGTCTCTGCCGCTCTCTCTCGCGTTCTCTCGCTCTCCTCTCGTCTTCTCTCGCTCTCTCTCTCCTCTCTCTCGCTTTCTCACGCTGTTTCTCGCCTTCTCGTTCTCTCCCCTCCCGCTCTCTCTCGTTCTCTCTCGCTCTCTCTCTCTTTTTCTTTTCTTCCGCACTCCTCGCTCCTCTCCTCCCTGCTCTCTATCGCTCTTTCTCTCGCGCTCTCTCGGCCTCTCTCGCTCTTTTCTCGCTCTCGGTTGCTCTCTCCCGCGCTTTCCTCGCGTTCTCCTCTCGCGCTCTCTCTCTCGTCTCTTCTCTCCTCTCTCTCTCGCTTTCCTCTTTGCTTTTTCTCGAGAGGACGAAAGAAAACGATAGAGAGTGTAAGAGGACGATAGGAAACGAGAGAAATCGTGAGAGAGCGATAGAAAGCGATAGAGAGCGAGAGAAAGAAAAGAGTAGGTTTGAAAAGATTTTACATATGTAAACTTCGATTTATATTATATACATATATGTATTATTTATGTATATTCGTGTGTATACACACACATATACGTATGTAATATAGACGCACATACATATTTTCACGGGTACACAATGTATTTCATATACAGTATATATGCTTTGTTGTACTAAACAATCAAAACCATAAAGATTTTTATATGTATAAACGTGTGTATGTACAATGCATTCCATACAAGTTGTACTAAACAGTACAAAAACGTAAAGAGTTTATGTTTGTATATACGCATATACAACGCATTCCATACATGTTATATGTACTAATCAAAACAAAAACATAAAGAATTTAAGAGCAAAAGAAATAGTTTTATCACTTTTACGCAGACCGTGCGATAACAGTGCGACTCATCTCCACAGTTTCTGTGATTGTTAGTGATAGTGAAGTAGTGGAGCTATAAATATTGGTGAAGTGACAATATTTAAAGGTAATTTTTATCTCTGTATTATTTTTTAAATTTCATATATGCATATACGTAAAATATAATATAATAATTTTAAAGATTATTTAATAGGGAGTATAGGAATATATATATATATATATATATATATATATATTTTGACACAAATTTGTATGTATATCGAGACATATTTTATTTAATATATGTTTAGATTTATTCAAAAAACCAATAACTTAAAAGAATATCCGGGAAAAAATATTTCATATATAAGCATATATAAATAAATATATATATGTCAATCGCATACTTTGACGACGATTTTACGCAACACTTGGCTATTTCAACGACTTTTGGCTATTTTGACGACGGTCGTCAAAATTTTACCGATAAATCGTACACTTTGGCGACGTCGTCAAACTAACTCAAAATGGAGAATTGTTTAATTTGACGACATTGTACACTTTGACGACACTATATTTATTTTTGGCGATTTTGATGACAGTATAAGAATTTATCAAAAAATTGAAAATATAATATTTGACATATAATACAATTATTTCTTTTTCATTACAAATAATTTGAATGACTTAAATGAATAGTAATTAGTTATTTTTGAATAAATTTTGATTGACTATACAGATTGACAAACCCTTTTGCCATATTAAAGTATTAAAATTAATAAATCGCGCTAGCTATATTTCAAGTAATAAAACAATCTGTATTAGTCAATAGATTTTTAATCGAATCTATCTCACTTTTCGGTCGATAAAAACTGACAAAACAGATGCCACTGCTCCGGCATTATTTTAATTATTATAATCATTTAATTATTGCAATTTTTTCTTAAGATGATACATGGAGGGGACAGAATATATGGTTAAGCATAACAGATTTTATATGTAAATCTCATATGTATTTCGTAGTAAATACTGTAAGAACGTAACCGAAATACTTTTAATAAAACTATTATTAAATGTCCAGGATGGAGTATCTATTTGATTATCAAAAGGTAGCCCAGAGGAGGATGCAGCGCTCGAGGATATCACTGAATAACACTTAAGCTGTAAGACAACGTATGTTTATTCCGAAAAGTATACACTCTATACGACTCTCGCAAACTTATCTCGCTCGCTTCTCGAAGGAGAGTGCCGTCCGCTCGCGCTCTCCTCATTCCTTTCTGTCGGAGCACGGGGTGCGCCTGTGCACGCGCATGCGCCACCCGGTATATGGTGGCCGCAGCAACCGGTAGGAATATATTTCTTACAGCTCGGCCTTCCTGACCTTGCCACCGTCTCGGTGGTAAGTTAGGAGTGCTGTTTTACCGGCACCGTATTTTACAATAGTTTACTTCGTTATGCAATATTGCACAAAGTTACGCGCGCTCGATCGCCATTATGGGCTTCCGGGGGCTAGTTGTTTTGGTTTACACATCATTTGGGCGAGGTTGTTGGCTTCTCTTCGTTATTTAGGGTTTGTATTGTACAGTCAGTATGCTGTCTTTGTCTTACTTTTATAACTTACGTTATAATACGTTCACACTAATTTACAAAATAAGATTCTTAGGGTCTAAGGTCTGACGAAAAGTTTAACAGCATTATTGCTTTTGATTATTTTCAGGCCCCTTTATTCGTATCCACGGCTTGATCTTGTCACTTGAGAGGATGGTGTCCATCGGTCTGGTTGTCAAACTGAAGCCTGGGATGTCACGGATGACATATCGATTATTTCCAAGGCTCTTGGCGACCAGGTAGGGACCTCTGTATTTCGCCTTTAGTTTAGGATTAACCCCAGGTGTGGGACGCGTATCTCTTATTGCTACATAATCGCCCTCACTGTATATTGAGAGTTTCACGCTGTGCTTGTCTCGATACATCTTATTGTAATTACGAATTTCTTCTGTTGCCTGAAGGGCTGCTTCCCTACTAATTTCTCTCTCCTTTTGCAGATCCGAGTCTACATCTGCTAAGGCTTGCGTGAACCGTGCGAAAGGAAAATCAACGTGGCTACGCTGATCGTAGCCAAGCAAGAGTTTTGAGGGGCTCGTCTTGATGCTTGAATGGTATGTATTATTTATGATATACTGTAGCGACCCTAGATATTGACTCCAATCTGCAGGGGAGTCGAGTAGTTTAGTGAGAGAACTTGTAATAAATCTATTAACTCTCTCTACTATACCATTGGCCCAGGGTGCCGCTACTGCTATTTTCCGATGCTTTATTTTTTTCTTCTCAGTATACTCTGCAAATTCATGTGATGTGTAGGCCGTGCCTCTGTCTGTCACTAATTCCATCGGTTTTCCAAATAAGTTAAGTAATTTTTCTATATGATCTATAGCCTCTTTCGACCCTGTAGACCTTGTCGCAAATAACCACGTGAATCTAGTAAAAGCGTCCACTATAACTAATATGTGTTTGTTATTTGTAGATGTAGCTGGTAGCGGACCGAGATGGTCAGCGTCTTTGGTGGCCTGGCTGAAATATGCTACCGGTGCCCACGACCGATTGGACTGCTTTTGGAGCAAGATCGCGCCGAACCCGGTGTGGCATGCATCGGTGTGCAGTTGCGTTTCTGCGGCTGGGTTATACAGCCGCAATACGGGCGCCGAAGTGAGTTCCGTTTTTATTTTATTAAACGCTTCGACACACTCGTCGTCAAAGCCGAAAACAACGTCCTTCTTTAACAAATTCTGCAATGGTCGTGCCTTTCCCGCAAAATTTTTTATAAACCGCCGGAAATAATTTGCTAGACCCAAAAAGCGTTGTAACTGCAAGCGATCTTTCGGCTGACTATAATTTTTCACCGCCTCCGTGTGTCGTGAGCTTAATGTTATCCCCTCTTGCGAGACGATATATCCGAGGAACTCAACCCTTTTTTTAAGGAATTTACTTTTCGACAAATTTAATTGAAACCCGTATTTCTTGAGAATTAACATTACTTCCTTTAATACCGTTATATTTTCTCCGACCGTCTTGGACGGGATGAGCACGTCGTCCATATACACGACTACCTTATCCTCTCTGATCATTGGATTCAATATTTGAAACAATCTCTTCTGAAATTCGGCCGGGGCTTCGCTATACCCGAACGGTAAAAACTTGTATTCATACTGCCCATCCGGGGTCGCGAACGCGAAGTATTTCGTTGAGTTCTCGTGTACTCGAATCTGATGGAAGCTGTCTTTTAGATCTATTAACGAGAATACTCTCGCCTCCCCGAGTCTTGCGAAACATTCCTCTATTACCGGGAAGGGGAATTTTTGTTTTATAATTCGACTGTTAAGTGGCCGTAGGTCAACGCATAATCTCATGCTACCGTTTTTTTTTCTTACAGGGACGACCCTGGCGCAATAAGACGAGACGCTGGGCTGGATTATACCGCGTCGGAGTAGGTCATCCACGATCCGGCGCATCTCAAGGCGTTCGCTGTGGGCGAATCTCCGCGGGGCATACGCGTAGACGGATTCGTCCCTGAGCCGGACCTGTACTGTGTACCCGTCATCTACCGGTACGACTGGTCTACTCTCTATCTTTGTTATTTCTTTTTTTAATTGTTTTTCCGTTTCCGAATCAAAGTCAGTCGCAAGGTTGTCTATTGTTTGCTCGATGTCGGTATCGTGATCCTCGACGCACAAGGGTAGACGGGCAAACAACTCGACCGTGTTTTTCTGCCCTTGCGCGGTAGGCTCGAATACCAACGTCAGCTTTTCGTTTGTCAAGAAGTCGCGACCTAATATAAAATCCGCTTGGAAGAAATCGCTATTCAGGACAAATAACGTTAAGTCGAACAACATTCCGGGCATTTTTTTCTAGAGATATTTGTACCGAGACTGTTCCGAAAGTTTCCAAGGATTGATCGTTCAAATTCTTTAATACGCGATCCGACGAATTCAATTTAACGCTCTTTGGTTTGATAAATTTACAATAAACGCTATGTTTTACAAACGAGACGGGGCTTCCTGTATCTATTAAGGCTAACCATTTTTTCCTCTCACCCAACAGGCTGTCCACGCAAACGAGAGGATCCTCCACGACGAGCCGGTGATGTCGGTCCCTGACGGCTGCCACTACTTCCGCCTGGAGACCTTCCTCGGAGACCCCGGCTGCCACCGCCGAAGTAGTTGCTAATTTCTGTGTTTTGGCTTCCTTTTTTTTGAGGAGGGGGCAATCGAAGCGACGATGGCCCTTCTCCTTGCAATAAAAACAGTTGACCTCACCTCTGCACTCTTTATGCCCATGACCTCTCTTCCCGCAGTTCCTGCAGGTGGAGTCCTTCGGCTTGGCTGTCGAGCTGCCCGCCGCTTGCTTCTTGTCCGGGTCTCCCATGCCCTGGGTGATCCGGCGCATATGCTCCAGGAAGACGTCCATCGTCTCTGCTGACACCGAGAGCGCAATGCCTCTTAGCGACGGCTGCGTGATGCCGCTTACCAGCAGATGTATCCGGTCCGTCTCTGCTAGGTCTGCCCGATGCATGATTGCCAACTTGTGTATGGCATATTCGTCGAAGGTCTCCCGGCCCGACTGCCACTTCCGGGCTTCGATGCGCTGCATCACCTTGAAGAAGGGGACCTTCTGATCGAACATCTTGACCATTTCATCGCGGAGGCCAATCCACGATTCGACCGCCGCTCCGCTCTGGACGTCGAACCACCGGCGAGCCGATCCGGACAGCTTACTTGATGCTGCCAGCAGCGCGACTCCGTCGCTAGCTCCGTGGACCAGGGTCACCTTCTCGACCCTCCTTATCCACGTACGGACATTGTCCTCCTCCTTACCAGCGAACTCTGGTATTTGGGAGGCCAATGCCTGGATCGCCGAGCCGGACGACCACGAGGATCGTCCCTCTGAAATCGGAGGAGATTCCGCCGGCGAGCGCAATGGTTCACGCTCCGGCGGTCCTCGTATTGGGGCGCTGTTCCTCTCCGGTGCTCCAGAGTTGCTTCGCCCCGAGAATACTTCTAGGAGTTGAGCGAAGCTTCTTTGCTGCTCCTCGAAGAAGCGCTTCTGGTCCTCCCGCTCTTCATCCTGTCGTCTGATTACTCTTTGGAGGGCGGCGACCACCTGTTGAAGGGGGTCCATTCGTTCCGACGGGCCAGCCTCGCTCGCTGGAGCCGGTCCTCCTGCTGGGCCCGCTTCTTGTAACGGAACCACCCTATTCCCGGAGCTTACCTCCATCGCTGCAAGCCCTATTAGGTCTTCCACTGGAGCGTGGCTCTGGAAATGGCCTATCAAAGTTTCGATAAGCTCGAACTTCCTTCCTGTTGTAGGCAGCCTGTACTTTGCCGTCTCCTGCCTCAACTGCTCCCCTGTGAGCTTTTCCAATGCCGCGCGATCCATCGCTGCCTCGAGTGATCCAGATCCCACTTCTGAGATGTAAGAACGTAACCGAAATACTTTCAATAAAACTATTATTAAATGTCCAGGATGGAGTATCTATTTGATTATCAAAAGGTAGCCCAGAGGAGGATGCAGCGCTCGAGGATATCACTGAATAACACTTAAGCTGTAAGACAACGTATGTTTATTCCGAAAAGTATACACTCTATACGACTCTCGCAAACTTATCTCGCTCGCTTCTCGAAGGAGAGTGCCGTCCGCTCGCGCTCTCCTCATTCCTTTCTGTCGGAGCACGGGGTGCGCCTGTGCACGCGCATGCGCCACCCGGTATACAGGGTTTGTCCGGAAAGTAATGCGTCGCATTTTTTTGTGACGCGACTATACATCGCAGAGCGATGGGACCGGTTGGGGAGGAAGGGGGGTACCCTTAGCTTTCCAACGGTAGGTCGCTCAATTGTTTCCATGCGCTTGGAGGGTTAGGACGGCTTATTCTGTGAACCTCTGCTTAGTGGTCGCGTCGAACTTGTGATGGAGAAAACGATAGAGCAACGCTATGCGATAAAGTTTTGCGTGAAGCTGGACAAGACGCCGCTGGAAACTTTTGAAATGCTCAAGAAAGTTTTCGGGGACGATTGCCTTTCCAAATCGCAGTCAAACAGATGGCACAAGATGTTTAGAGAAGGTCGGAAGGAGGTCGCCGACGAGGCCCGCGCAGGACGCCCGTCAACATCGCGAACGGACGACAATGTGACTCGTGTGCGCCAATTATTGAATTCAGACCGTCGAATGAATGTTCGCTTAATGTCGGAATTATTGAACTTGCCGAAAACGATTGTTCACGAGATTGTATCGGAAGACTTGGCCATGCGGAAGATTTGCGCAAAACTTGTGCCCAGAGTGTTGACCGATGCGCAAAAGCAACACCGAGTGGAAGTTTGTGAAGAACTCAAGCAACTCTGTGCAGATAATCCCAATTTCCTGAACAACGTTATCACTGGGGATGAGTCATGGGTCTTTCAGTACGATCCGGAGTCAAAGAGGCAGAGTGCGGAATGGCACACGACGTCGTCGCCGCGCCAGAAGAAGGCTCGCATGAGCAAGTCCCGGGTGAAGTCAATGCTCATTGTTTTTTTTGATGCAAAGGGGATAGTGCACCATGAATTCGTACCCCCCGGCCAGACTGTCAACGCTCAATTTTACAAGGAAGTGCTTCAGAGACTGAATCACAGGATCGCCCGCGTCCGAAAGGAGATCCGCGCTTCATGGAAACTCCATCACGACAACGCGCCGGCTCACACCGCCTTTGTTATTACGGCCTACCTGACCCGGATCGGTGTGGCAACGGTGCCGCAGCCGCCCTACAGTCCCGACTTGGCCCCGGCAGTGCCGGTCCTGGGTGCTTGGCCGCCCCTGTGCAGACCCATTTTTCGCCGCCCCTTTATTCCGTAAAAATTTGGGACAATTCAAAAATATTCGTACTATATAGAATAAATGAATAATTTCATTTGTAAAATATGTATTGTGTATTTTATTTTAATTATTATTTATAAAGGAAATGACAAACAAATTGTTAATGATACATATCTTTTAAAACATTCTAAAAGTAAATAACAAAATTACTGTAACGTTTTTAAATTAACTCTTCTGGCTTTTAGAGACGCAAATTCGTCTATTATTTTTGACAAGTCTATACTTTCTGATATTTCATGTTCTATAGAAATAAGTGCAAGACTGCTTAGTTTTTCCTGGGACATCGTAGATCGGAGATAATTTTTAATTATTTTAAGTTTCGAGAAACTTCTTTCGCCAGACGCAACGGAAACTGGCAGTGTTAAAAAAATTCTCAATGCAATAGTAAGATTTGGGAAACAAGATAACAAATCAGCATCTACGATTCTTTGTAAAACTTGAAAGGGATTGTTCGATAACGATGCGTCAGGAAAAATTTCCCGGTACGACATTATTTCATGATATAACTGAATACCATCAAAATCCCTTTTTAACACATTATTTTCATTTGATTGGAATTTTACATCCAAATCCATACATGATTTCATTAAGGCGTCATTATCCATTTTTTTGAAATCATATAAAAAGCTAAACAGAGATTCACATTCATTTATTAATTCAAACCTTTGATCAAGAGAATTGCTTATGTGATCTAAAATGAGAAAATAAAAATGTATTTTAAAGCGTTGTTTAGGATCTACAACCGAATCAGCTTTGCTTTCGTTGAAAAATTGACGTGGCTTTTTTATATGGCGAATTATAGGAAATTCTGGTTGTACGTTAATTTTTTCAGCTTCTGTAACGGCATTACTAATGAACGTATTAAAATATTCATCGTTTCTTTTTTTAATAATGTAATTTTTGAGATTTTGTAAAGCATGAACACATTCGGCTAAGCTTATTTTTGGGTTTTGAAGCATTTTACTAACAATATCTATTTTTGAAAGCAAATCGTGCCAAATAATTATAGAACATATAAATTTGAAAGAAGATATCTTTTGTGCCAATGAATGAGCCATATTTTTTGTTTTTACGTCTCGAGTTGGATCATTCGTTAATTCAGTTAAACTGTCAATGATGTTCTTTAGATTAAGGCGTAATGGTCTTATAGCTTTAATTCTGCTTTCCCATCTTGTCTCACTAAGACTTTTAAGTGTTAAATTTGTAATGTGTTTCTTTAAAAGATCCCATCGATATGTGGAAGCAGAAAAAAAGTTATATACTTCCTGAATAATTTCAAAAAAATCAAATATTTCCCCGCTACTATTTGCTGCATCACTTACGACCAAATTCAAAGTATGAGCATTACAAGGAACAAAGAGTGCTCTTGGATTGATGTCTAAGATGCGCTTTTGAAGGCCAATATTTTTACCTCTCATATTGGATCCGTTGTCGTAACCTTGTCCTCTAATATTTTGAACATCTAACTCATAATTTGATAATTTTTCTAATAGGAAGTTATACAATCCTTCACCAGTAGTATCTGTGACAGGATAAAAATCCAAAAAAAACTCGTGTATGTCAACTTCTTTATTTGACATATTTATATTTACACACCTTACAATAAATGTAATTTGTTCGGTATGGCTAACATCTGGTGTACAGTCAAGTATAATAGAAAAATATTTAGAAGATTGCACAATCCGCATTATTTCTTTTTTAATACCTCCAGCTAATAAGTGTATTATTTCGTTTTGGAAATGATTTCCTAAGTAATGTGGCATATGAGTTTTAAGTTCTTTTGACTTTTTAACATTATTTAAGTGATCTAACATAACAGAATCGAATTTAGCAATCATCTCAACAGCCTTTAAAAAATTACCATTATTTCGTTCGTATACTTGCGAATTTGTTCCTCTAAAAGCCAGACATTGACCAGCTAAAAATTGTACAATTGCAATCATTCTTTTAATTATAGCTCTCCAGCGCTCCTTTTCAATGTCAAATAAATTTTTTTCTACCTTGTCAATTGTGCATTTTTTATCTAGTCGTAATTTTAATTCACACCACTTCTTTACACATTGAATATGTTGAATACTAGTTTCATGTTTATTGAAATATTCAGAACAATGCCGCCAATCAGAATATCCATCATTAATTATTTTTATGTTTTCTCTGCTAAATAACTTACAAGGAAAACAGAAAACACGGTTTAATTTTATAGAATAAACAAGCCAATTTCTTTTAACTTTTTCTCCGTTTTCCATAATTTTGTTAAAATATAAAATATTAAACTTTCTACCAGTTTTTTCATCTACAGGAAATTTATAATTATTATCTATATGAACAGGCCCTATTTCTACTAATGTTTCGATACATTTGTTTGGTATGATATTAGGCCAAGTACCTGGGTCATTTAAATCTAACATAGATATGGAATCATCTTCATTTCCAAGAACTTCGTATTTTACTTGATCTTGAATTTCATCCTTTTCTGAAGATGCTTCTACGTCAGTATCCATTTTTCCATCGACATCCGTATCTGGTACTGTGTTTTCAGTTTGAGGAACAGGAAAATCAACATCAGCTGTTATTGGAACATTTTCGGGATTTTCAAATAATAAAACTGATGAAGAATTTTCTTGATCAGATTCAAGAAATTTTTCTAGAGCTCCTTTTAATTGCTGCTGTTCGTTTGCTTTTTTTGCTCGCTTCTTTTTGTAAAACGCTCCAGATTGTCTCTTGGTTTTTCTATCTGCCATTCTAATAATAACAAAATTATAAATATTTATAAAAATTATAAATATTGCGTTGATTTGGAAAACAAAATTTTTAATTTATCATTACTTACTTTTGCTTTATGTTGTATCGATATTCACTATTCACTACTTTTTGCTTCCACTGTATAAATATAATATCTCGCCCGATAGAAATGTCAAATTGCAGACGCAAACAGCAGAAGCTCGCGCTTTTATGTATGTCGTGGAGCAGATTAGCACATACGCCAAGCATGCTGTTCTGCTGTTTGCTGTTACAATTTGGCATCTCCGCTGTCGGGGAATTCTCGGCATCACTGCATTAAACAAAACATAATCGCTTTCCCAGTAATCAGTAATATAGACTCTGCTGGAGACTTTATATATATTATTGATTAGAGAGAGAGAGAGGCAAATTGATGAGAGAGAATGCTCTTATTATAATTAATGTATATATTTTTATTGGAATTTATACTATATTCTATTGATTATTTTTACACATTATTATTGTTTTACAAATTGTGATTTTGTTTTCAATTTTTGTAAAACATTAAGACTCCGAGGGCGGCCTTTCGGCCGCCCCTCTAAATCGGCCGCCCACGTGCGGGGCACGCGTTTGCCCTCCGCTAGAACCGGCCCTGGGCCCCGGCGGACTTTTTTTATTTCCTCGGCTGAAAAGGGAGCTCAAAGGACAACAGCTCGAGTCGGTTGACAACGTACAAGCTACTTCGACGGCCTCCCTGAACAGCATCCCAGTCAAGGAGTTCCAGAAATCTTATGACGCATGGAAATCGCGTTGGCAAAAATGTATTGACGCAGAAGGGTCATACTTCGAACAATTTTAAGTTGTTTTACCTATGCGATCAATAAATTCTTTTTTAAAAAAATGCGACGCATTACTTTCCGGACAAACCGTATGGTGGCCGCAGCAACCGGTAGGAATATATTTCTTACAATACATATGAGATTTACATATAAAATCTGTTATGTTTAACTATATATTGTTGAAAGAAAAATATGTAAATAACAATAATTCAATGTTATATATTTGAATTTATTTAAAATTTATTTTAATAAAAAAAAGTTAATTTTATTTATGTATATAACTCAATATCTTTGGTTGTACAGATTGTATTCATATTGCATTTGATAAAGATATATAGATAAAGAATATGTGAACAAGATTGAGGTATTACAATATAATATTTATTCTACTAATACTAAATATGTATTATACAATAGTACTAAAATTTAAATATGTACACGTTATATATATATATATAGTAAAGTTCTATGATGATACTTATTATGTGCGCAAATCTAATCAAATTACGATTTAAAAGTGTTACAAAAGCTACATATAGTGATAAATGAAGCTACCCAGCAACCATTTTAGCGAAAAATGGTAAGTTAAATAAAACATCAATCTTTGTAATATGTTTCATATCAACATTTTATATTATTATTATTATTGGATGTCATTAACATTTAATACATTACCAATATATATTCGTAGATGTATTTCTACATCTATAATTTCATTATATCGTACACAATCGCATCGTTACTGTTTACTATTTAATCTTGGATTTACGTATATGTATATTGGTAATGTAATATAAATGTTAATTACATACAATAAAAATAATATATTATACATACAATAAATTTAAATATGTATACGTTAGTAAAGTTCTATGATGATATTTATCATGTGTGCACATCTAACCAAATTACGATTAAAAAAAATGTTACAAAAGCTACATATAGTGATAAACGAAGCTACCCAGCAATCATTTTAGTGAAAAATGGTGAGTTAAGAATACATTTTATATCTATATTTTATATTTTTATTATTATTGTATGTAATTAACATTTATATTACATTAACAATATATACATAAATCCAAGATTGAATAGTAAACAGTAATGATGCGATTATTCACGATATAATGAAAATATAGATGTAAAAATACATCTACAAATAAAATAAGTAATTGGGAACACATTTTAATGTATTCTCAATTTCTTATTTTATTAACAAATATTTCTTTAACATTACAGATAATAAATATATATTGCAAGATATTAAAAAAAATATTATAACAAATAAACCACATATATTACGCAAAAGAACTGATTTCCCAAAATTTAGTGGTAAGTATAACTCATATCGATAATACTTGCAATACTTATTCTATCATATGTATGTGATAATCATGTATCTCTTCTCTCACAGATATTAATTCGATAAGTCTAATAGATAAAAACAAAGGCAATGAGTCTGTGATACTAAACAAGGAGTGTATTACCAAAAACATTATATTTCATTAAATATCGGAGAATCTCACATGATAATGTCTATGGATGAAAACCATAAATATAATGAAGATGTGTCAAACAGAGATTGTAATAAGAAGACTGATGTTACATCAAATACTGGTAAATGTACACATTTCCAATTATTTGGTTTAGCTCATATGTATGATGTTTGTAATACTTATTTTATCGCATGTATGTCACATAATCATGTATTTCTTCTCTCGCAGATATTAATTCGATAAGTCTTATAGATAAAAACAAAGACAATGAGTCTGTGATACTAAACAAGGAGTCTATTACTAAAAATATTGATGTTTCATTAAATATTGGTGCATCTGACATGATAATGTCTATGGATGAAAGGGATAAAAATAATGAATCTGTACCAAATAAAGATTCTAATGAGGAGATGACCGATGCTACATCAAATACTGGTAAATGTGCACGTTCTCAATTATTTGGTTTAGCTCATATGGATGATGTTTGTAATACTTATTTTATCGCATGTATGTCACATAATCATGTATTTCTTTCTCGCAGATATTAATTCAATAAGTCTTATAGATAAAAACAAAGACAATGAGTCTGTGATACTAAACAAGAAGTCTATTACTAAAAATATTGATGTTTCATTAAATATTGGTGCATCTGACATGATAATGTCTATGGATGAAAGGGATAAAAATAATGAATCTGTACCAAATAAAGATTCTAATGAGGAGATGACCGATGCTACATCAAATACTGGTAAATGTGCACGTTCTCAATTATTTGGTTTAGATCATATGGATGATGTTTGTAATGCTTATTTTATCGCATGTATGTCACATAATCATGTATTTCTTCTCTTGCAGATATTAATTCGATAAGTCTTATAAATAAAAACAAAGGCAATGAGTCTGTGATACTAAACAAAGAGTCTATTACTAAAAATATGATGTTTCATTAAATATTGGTGCATGTGACATGATAATGTCCCAGATAGCACTGGACATTCCAGGGATGTCCATTTTAAGTCCAGTTTAGGTCCATATGTCCATGAACATAAAATGGACATTTAAAGGATATCCATTGTTGGAATTGAAATGGATATTCTGTTAGCAACATCTTTTGGATGTTCAGTTTATGTCCATATTTGGATCTATTTTTTATTTAATATTTGTTATGTATACAGGGTGTTAAAAAAGTGTCAATAATTAATTACGCCAAAACTATTCATCGCATCGAAAAATATAGTATTAGACATTTCTTCTTAGATTTTTATTCTCTATCGAATGGTGCTGAGCAAATGCGACACTTTTTTAACACCCTGTGTATATATATATATTATATATTAGAGTAAAATATTATATATATAAATATTAATATATCTATAATATAGCTTAAAAATTGACTAATTTTTTTTACAATTAATACATAAAAAATAAGGATAAGCAAAACATTAAAAATTATCAGTCAAAACTATCATTCATTTTTATCTTAAAATTAAGATAAACTTTTAATGCGCGCATGTGTGCTGCATTTTGTTTTTGGCGCCCTTATGATACGGAAGTATGACGTGTTTTTTTACTTCCACGATTTTTTGTTTTCTTTTCCTGCCTGGTACAGCATGCAATGTGCGCGCGTACTAGAGTGTCTAGCATATATAAGGGAAATTTTCGAAAAATAATGGTCATTGATTCAACAAGAAAAGGTAAGTGTACTGTTATTAATAATATATATGAAAAATTAATAATAACATTATTCTTTTCGGTGTCCACAATAATTACAGCGATACATTTTGTTTTGAGGTTATGTTGCAAATCTGTCCTCTTCAGAAATCAGCTATCTAATCACAAATATGTACTTTCCAGTAAATACAGATATATTTATTATATTACATAATATATATTATATGTATATATCATTTATATATTAATGATACAACTACAATATAAATATAATATGTGTAATGTATGTCGATTGATACAAATGTTATATATCTATGCGAATGAGAAATTGCAATGAATATGCATTGTAACATACATATTCATTGCATGTTAATATACAATAACAATATTTCACTGGGTTTTTATTGTCAGTTTTATTGTCAGTTTGAAGCAAGGGAAAGATTTGTTAAGTGAACATTATTTATAGGTATAAAATGCAATGTTTCAAAGCTGTAGAAAAAATATTATTAACAAGTTTTTAATCAATATATTGATTATTATTACTTAAGAAATTTTATAAATATTTATAATTTAATAATCTTAATTTATATACATAACTCCAAGACAAAATGTCGCATTGGTTTTAAATTTTACACAAGTGTTTATTCATAACAATCATACAAAAGCATGTAATAATTTTATCAAAATTGTTCAATAGCATAGTTCAGTTACTGAATTAAAACATAAAACATAAATTTTTCAACATATTCTTAATTGCTGATTTGCATATTCTTAATCCTGAAAAAAAAATTGAAATCGAATATTCAATTCTTAAAGAATACACATATAATTAAAATAATGTTTTCTAATTATTTTTCAGTAATTTTCACTGACACTTTGACAGAGTGGAAAATATTTGGCGCTAAATAGGACTTCTGAAAGATATCAACAGGGACTATATAACAGGGATTATATAAACAATCGACAGCAGAGATTAATAATTACGGATTTGCGCGCGACTTAAATGGTAAAAAATAGATAATTGTATTAACAAAATGAACAATTTTTATAAAATGCGTTAAGATATAAACTAGCTATATGTATATGACTTCGATTATTATTACATAGATGAAATAAGTTATTGATATTGAAGAAAAGTTATTTAATTATTAATATATATATAATATTATAAGTATTAAAAACTTAATAGTATTTTATTAAACGGCTGTTCTTCCTATACCAAAGTTTATCGTATAAAAGTAATATAAAAATTATATATTGTTTTGTGTTAAATATTTTTTAACACATGATTGTATTATTCATAAAATAAAAATAAAAACTAAACAAAATTTATTTAATTGTAGTTTTTAATTAATATTTACAATTAAAAGAATAAATCCTAAATCAGTCCATAATAGATCCAAAATCAATCCATAATTGATCCAAAGTTGGCTATATTTCGGACATTCTGTGGACGTACCAAGTTGTGCATAATGTACATCTAATGGACGTTCATCGAATGTCCGACGGACCTTATTTGGATTTTTAAAGGATGTCCCAATGTCCAAGAATGGATATTCACTGGACATACATTAGACATCCTTGTGCTATCTGGGGTCTATGGATGAAAGGGATAAAAATATTGAATCTGTGTCAAACAAAGATTGTAATGAGAAGATAATCAATGTTACATCAAATGCTGGTAAATGTGCATATTTGCAATTATTTAGAAACTGACAAATATCTTTATCTTTAATTATTTGTATACTTAATATCTTTTAATATAATAATAAAATACATATAAATAATAATACATTCTTTTATTTAATTTTGTTTTTTTTTAAATTGTCAAATACACATTGGGTTCTTTCCAGCAATGACACAATGCAGCATATATGGTATTCTATGTGTTAGATTATAATACTTTTTCATTATTTTAGAATGTCACCATAAACCGACGCTTTTAAATGCGAAGAATAAAGGATATGACATAAAAAAGAAATTCCCGTAATTATTGACAACTGTGATTATCAAGAGATTACAGATCTCCCAGTAAATTTTGGTTAGTTTAGATAATGTTATCAGTTATATTTCTAAGCACTATTTTATTATCTGTATGAAATATTTTTTCTTATATATATTGTTTCAGATATTGGCACAATAATCTTTACAGATGAAAATGAGAGCATTGAAACTGTCATGCCAAGTAACTTTTTCATGAATGATAATATTGAAGCAGCAGAGGCAAATATTTCTTTATCTGGTATGCAATACTGTTAGAATTAAATTTCAAATATTAAGTTTCATATTTTATACTATAAATAATATGCAATTTTTTATTGCACTGTTGAATGAACGTATTTGTCCCTGTTTATCTAATCTCATGTTTTGTTTGCAGATTCATTTAATGGATCTATTAGAATCAATGAGTGTGTTAGGAGATTAAGTTTCAATATGACTGGTATGTAAAAATTGAATTATTTTTATATAAATGAGTATAAACTCATAAACAAAATATAAATATACACAAATTATAAAAAATAAGAAATAAATGCAATAAAATTTATATATATATATATATATATAAGCATATCATGAAAGTAATAGACAACCACTTAAATTAAAATATAAACATTAATGTTTATATAATAATATTATAAATATATCAGCTGCAGGAGCCTAATACGATGTCTTTTGCGTCGGTTATTGCGAAAATTAATTGTTCTGCTAATTGGGAATAGTATCTTTGATTTAGATCTCTAATTCTCATGTTTTCCATTAACCCCTCTGTAAAGCTGTAGACGAGAAAAATATCGGTCTGAAAGTTGGTTGAATTGGGAATCGAACCCGAGTCTTTCGCTTTCCAAGCGACTGCTCTTATAACCAAGCTATTCAGATCTTCCGAAACAATACTTCACTTTGTTGCCTTTTAACTAAATAACGCCGTTTTTTTGCCCAGACATAAACAAACAATATTATAACTATTAATATTATTAAACAATATTAATATTATTATTAATATTAATATTAATAATGTTTGTGTATATTTATATTTGTTTAGAGATAAAAGATTGTATCTATACTTATATAAATTTAAAAAAAAAACAGGTTTTATAGTTTCAAATATACATAAGAAATGATAAAATTTTAGACATAAAACAAAAATAAATATAACACAGTAATACAATTTGATAAAGTTTTATGAAGTATTTATAAACTGACATTTTAAGATTTGTTTAAAGTATAATCTTGTAAACATGGATTATTTTATGTTATTTACACTTATCTCTTTTTATATCTTCAATAAATCATACAGAAACTGATGCAAGACGTGTAAGCATGTTATCTCCTTGCCGAGATGATGTGCCAGATCCAGAAATTGTTGCTGCGCCAGTGTCTTATAGTATGTAGTTATGTTTTCTTTTTCTTTATAAATAATTTTTGACGTACATTTTTAATTAACAAATTTCACAATATTATGTATATAATTGATATATACGTACATATATAATATTATATATATTAATGGATATAATTCTTATAACATTGAGTTGCTACTGTTTTACATCAAGTTCGTTATTATTTTCATATAATGTACAAGCTGCGATTGCAACTTCATGCAAAAAGCGGCAATAATTTTGTTTCATTAATTTTATATAAACTTTTAGAGATTCTAATTATAATGACTAATTATAAATATATACTTTTGCAAGACTAATTATAAATTTAAGTAATGTAATTCGTGCAATATTGTGCTCTATATTTGAACAAACTACCTTTTGTATTGAGAAAGACCTAGTAAAATCGAAACGTATACTTTTTATTATAAATAAATTATGTTTAATTTTTTTTACATCTAAATTACTTTGGCTCGTAGTTTTGGCCTACTTTTCTTGATTTATTAATTCTATATTTGAGATAAAATTAAAATAAATAAATTTTATTATCTCTATTACCTACTTCAAACATTATTTTTTGTCTTTTGGTAATATATACATTGACATGCAAATATTGTGTGCTTTAGTTTTTCAATGATATGTGAGTTATGTCCTTCGTTCATAGTTATATAATTTCTTTGTTTTTTTTATACTAGATAATGATAAGAATGAAAGTGATGATGAAGATTCAGAATATATACCTTCAGAACATAGTTCTTTAAATAACGAATCTCCTCAAAAGCAAGTGTCAATTGTTAACAGAACTATTTCATCCACTTCCAGTTTTGATACATCAAATACAAATGTTGTTGGTACATCAGCATGTAACGATGAAGTTATGTATGTTCAAAAGTCTAATATAAAATCGAAACAAAATTATTGCGCTTTTTGTATGAAGTTGCAATCACAGCTTGCACGACATTTGGAAACAGTACATGCTAATGAGCCTAATGTAAAAAAATTTGCCATTCTGCCTAAAAGAAACCCAGAAAGGAAAAAAATAATAGATACTATTCGAAAAATGGGTAATTTTAAATTTAACACCAACCCAAAATTTAATACTGGTCAATTAATTGTATGCAGACGTCCAAATGAGAAAACTAATAAGACTGCTAAAGATTTTGTTACCTGTGTAAAATGTAAAGGATTTTTCGCAAAAAACACAATACGTCATCATGCTCGAGTTTGTCTTAAAAAAGATTTTCGAAAAAATAAAAATATTATGATTATGGGAAGAAAAATCACTGGTAGAATACATTCAATAGCAAGTGAGTGTTTAAGAAAAACAGTGTTTCCTGTTATGCGAGATGATGAAGTAACACGTATTGTGAGATATGACAAATTATTGATCATATATGCAAATAAGTTGTGTGTTAAATACAAATCCCAACATCAGCATGATATGATTCGTGCACGATTACGTCTACTAGGTCGTTTTCTTATAGCATTAAAAGATATAAATACGAATGTAAAAGATTTTCAGTCGCTGTATCATCCACAAATATATGACGATTGTATTTCAGCAATTAATGTAGTTGCAGGATATGACAATGAAGAACAACTTTATAAAACTCCTGCAGTAGCGGCTAACTTGTCAACACTTATTAAGCATATAGGAAATCTTTTCATTATGGAATGCATCAAGACTCAAGATGAAGAGAAGAAAAAATTAGTTAAAGACTTTTTAAAACTGTTAGTTGTGGATATAGGTACGAGTGTCAACAAAACAGTTCTCGAAACGCAGTCTGCACATAAAAGGCACAAGAAAATAAATCTCCCGTCATTGGAAGATATTAAAAAATTACACACACATTTGGCGAAAATAAGAACTGAAGCATATACAGCATTAAATGAGTCCTTTTCATATGAGAAGTGGATTTCTTTAGCAGAAGTAACATTAACTTCAACACATGTCTTTAATAGACGACGAGCAGGAGAAATTGAGCGAGCATTAATAGAAGATTTTGAAAATTATGAAAAAGTAAATAAAAATATGTACAGTGATATTTATAAATCATTGTCAATGGAAGATAGAAAAATTGCAGAGAAATATGTCCGATTTTGCATCAGAGGAAAACTAGGACGCACAGTGCCTGTTTTATTACCGAATGAGCTCTTTGATTGTATCACTTTAATCTTAAAATATCGTGAAGAGGCTAATGTATTAAAGAAAAACCCTTATATTTTTGGACTACCTGCTGTCGACAAAAATAGACACCGATACCTGAGGGCCTGTGTTTTAATGCGTAAATTTGCCCAACAATGTAACGCAAGTCAATCAACTACTTTGCGCGGTACAACATTAAGAAAACATATAGCAACACACTGCATTCAATTTAATCTGAATGATACTGATGTTTCGGATCTTGCCACATTTATGGGTCATGCTGATAAAATACATAGAGATCATTATAGGCAACCAATAGCAAGCAGAGATATACTGAAAATCTCCCGCTATTTAGAAGCAGTATCGGAAGGAAATGCACAAAATACGAATAATGAATCGATATCGGACAGTGATTCTGAAATAGAAGATAACATAATTGACGTTAACAACAATAATACTGGCGAAATAAGTAATGTTATTTGCTTAAATTATGTAAGACGTAGAATTTATAACATTAATATCTACATTGTTTATATTATTAAGATTTACATTATTTACATTATATTTACATTATTGTTTTCATTATTAATTATTTCACTGTTTATTTATTATTATTAATTGGTTTTGTTTTTTTGGTGCTTATTTATTTTATACTAAGTATTCCTTTTGTATATTATTTTAATATTGTAATGATATAATAACAAAATAAGAGCATTACGATATTATGATATTGTAATTTTGTAAATGTTTTAATAACTACTGTTTATTGTAGATATTTCATTATGTGAGACATCAAATCATTCCAGAAATTCTGACAAGCAAACGGATGAACAAGGTGGAAAACGGAAACGTAGTAGTAAGTAATTTTTCATATCTACTTTCAATCCATAACTGTACGAATTACAATACTATTCAGTTTCCTTTATTATTATGTTAATTCGTTCTTAAAATGATACTTATTTATATATTTCTAATATAACATTACATATTTGATTAGTGCCTGCAAATAATTATCTTTTGTCGCTCCTTTTTATTATACCGAAATACATAACTTAGTTTTGTTTCCATGACCGATAACATTTTCCAATATTTATACTAAAACTATTTATAATTACTATTCAAAATTAAAAGTAAATAAGTAAAATAAAATAGTATTAACATTTAAATAATTTATTATCGTTGAAGATGGAATATAATAAGAATGTATAATTATAGCACTCAACATATTATTCTTATGTCAAAGTCAATAACAAATAGTATACTTATTTTGTTTTGTTAAATTATTTCAACAATATTCTCTATACTCCTCTAGCATCTCCTTATGGAAAAACAAAAAGAGTACGATGGACAGAAAATGAGAAAGAAGCAGTGCTTTCTGCGTTTGCACAACATATGGAAAATCATACATTGCCGTCTCTAAAAGAGATTCAAGAAGTAAAAAAAAAATATATTTCTCTGGCTCGGCGTACATCGCCGCAAATCAAAACGTGGCTGCATAATAAACAAAAAACCTTGCAACAACAATAGTGTAAGAGTTTGCAATTTCGTACAAAACATTTTATGAATACTTGTAAAAAATCAGAATTTTTTTAAAAACAATATAAAATGTTTTCATATTACTTAAATCTTAAATTTTTAAATTAAAATTCATATAATTTAATACTTTATATTTTTGTATAATATATAACTTTTTAATTTAATATGTACTATACAACTCTGATTCAATATCTTTTTCTTTTTGTTTTTGTACATCTGTAGTAATCTGTATATTAGATAAGCTAATATATAGATGTGTGCGTTAGTTCGTCAACATTATAGATGTTCAAAGTAAATCTTATTCTATCTTTTAGTTTCAGTTTCACTGCCTCATTTTAGGAGAACTTTGTAAAGGCGTTCAACTCAAGATTAACGTTGAATACACCTAGATTATCGGATATATTGAATATATTCAATAGAATCAGAGAACCTGAATATTGCTATACCCAGCGATGAGAAGTGGATAGAATGCTTAACGGAACAGATTCAATACAAGATGGAATTTATAAAGTGATATGTTCCAGAAGATGTTCAGCTGTATCTTATTTAACATTCCATAGCTGCTTGAATAGTACTCAACTTGTTAAAAAATCATGAGATTGATAAAAGAATAATAGATTACTTCTGTTCCTTTTTACAACAAAGCACAAGGCAGAAACAGTAAAGCAACCTTCACAGTGATGTTTCTATCATCTCTGCAAACATTATTAATATAAGTCTTTGATATATTTTGATGTTTTCAAGTAAATTTGTCAAGCCAGTGTATGAAATGCAGTGACAAAAGTCATAAACTTAAAAACTTTATGCAATTAAATCAATTTTGATATAGAAAAAATGTATGAAAAGGTTGCAAATTGAGAGCAATTAAAGCTGACAAACTTTTATTTTATTATAATGTTAACAGTAGCGAAATTCCAAGACAAATGTATATTAGACACTTCAATCTAAATGTTCAATGATACTAATGCGATTTTTACTTGCTTTTGTGCTAAAAAAATGATATGTGATACTCGTCGGCGATTTTATTAACTAAATTTTAAAATATTAATTTTGCATTTAATTTATTAATGGTGCAGTTCTTTGTTACATATTAAAGTAGCATTTTTTATAGTAAATAAATAGGACACATTTTCATTTTACTGATTAGAACAAGGTTTTGTTATTGCTGTGTGTCTTGATGAATCGAATACAAAACTGATAATTTTCGATATCCTTACAAAAGATTATAAAAATAATTACAATAAACGGATTAGCCAACAAACAACTAATTATAGTGATATCTTGAATTAATTACAATTTGATTATTATAGATTAGTTAGTATGGTATAATATCTCTTATGTTATGTTAATTAATTAATTACATATTATTTATCATTTGTATTATCGCTAAACGTTTAAGGATTTAAATTTAATTTTAAGGATGTTGCTTTATATAGTCAAAGTAAACATGAGTGATGGTATCAAGGTTCTATTATTTTTGCTGAAGTCGAGAGTATTAAGTTTCCTTATTTATAACTAGAGAGAGAGAGAAAGAAAAAGATATCAAATTTTGTATTGTCATAAAAATGAATAAGTAATTACTTAAAATAAGTTCTACATACATTGTAAGCAATGATTTTAGTTACCATTCTGTTGTACAATTATCATTTTCTCTCGTCTTACTATATATATTTATCACATTTTTCTTTGTATGATTAGTGGTATTATAAACACATATTAATGTTTTCAGATTATTAAAATCGAACACAAAATTTTATATTACACTATATTAATACGTTATAATTAAGATTTTTATGTATTTCTTTGAACCACCGCACAAGCTTTTCTGTAACGCGTTACGTTACGTTAAGTACTAACCTTTTATTCATTAGACTTTACTCATTGTCAGTACATAATCTCAAACTTTAGTCAAAGCACAAAAATCGTTATGTTAAATTACGTTAAGTTCTGATCTTATCATTACGATTTTTGTGTGCGTTGATTAAAGTTTAAGATTATGTACAAGTTAAGTCTAAAGTAAATACTTAATGTAACGTAACACTTTACGAAAAGATTATAGGCGATAACCCTTTCTCTTCAACATATTAACTTTGTCATTTTAATGTATACAATATATACGTTTCTTTTTTTAAAACTAATTGAAATTGTGAATATTTCAACCTTGTTCACATATTCTTTATCTATGTAGAATTATTATGAAAAACATTCAGAAAAACAAAAAAATGTTCAAATATTATTACCATATGTCACATATCATTATCAAATGCTATATGAATAAACCTGTACAACCAAAGATACAGTTATATACATAACATTTAGTTTCATTACTGTTATTTACATATTTTTACTTCATATATTCTCTACGAAATACATGAGATTTTCATATAAAATCGATTTTATTTAACCACATATTGTTCTGTCTTCTCCCTGCACCATCTTAAGAAAAAATTACAATAATTAAATGTCTATAATAATTAATACAGACTATGTATATATATCAAAGAAAAATGTAGACACATAGAAATCTATTTAACAACTTCGAATTACAGACGTCAATTTCAACATTACAGCAGTACATCACTAATCTAGCTTTTCTTGTGCGTTAATGTATTTATGTATATACAAAAAACAAATAAATATTTTATACATCTAACACTTATTGTCACCTATTAACTCCAACTAAAAAACATTAATAATTTGATATTTCTATAAACTTTTTATAGCACTCAAAAACAAGGTTTATAAAGAAGACGCTCGGTATTGCATCCGTTCTTGTTAACGCATGATGACGAAATATCTAACTTGAAAATAACTACGAAAAGACTAAAAAATCGTCCTATCGTTTCAACTGATTTCACTTCCTTGCACCAGGATATCGATTCTGTAACTTTTTTTAAAGTGAAAATGTGAAAAGTGAAAAATTCTCGCCAATCACGCATTGATTTTAAAATGAAATCGATGTACGATTGGCGGAAATTTTTTACTTTTCACGTTTTCACTTTAGAAAAAGTTACAGAATCGATATCCAGCTGATTTTGCGTATTACAAGTAAAACACAACTTAAATTTACTTAAAAACAAATTATAAATATTAATAAATCAAAGCAAAATAATACTCGAATAAATTATAACAAAATACATAATGTCAATCGAATAATTAACTTCTTGCTTAAAAAATTTGTTCTAACAATAAGGGTTTCATATATTGTGAAATCCTATAAATTTCTTTAAACGAAAAGTCAATTTCAATTAGACGGTTGAATTTTGAGCCAATATTACTATTACATCACATCTATAGCCTCGAGAATCCAATGAAAGCTCCAAAAATCGTTTATCGCTTTTCCGATAGTAATAATTAATTTTAAATTATATGACATTCTTTAGTATATACGAAAATATGATTAAAAAGTTGAAAAAATTTGATAAATGATTGCTATTCAAAAAGATTTTTCAACTTATTTTTGGAGTGTCGTTAAAACAACCGTTTTATAGAAATTAGTGGTGTCGTTATAATAGTCAAATAGTACAATGTGTTGTACATAATTTTGTACTGTCGCTGTACTAATGGTTTTATACTTAATTGCTTATACATATGTACCAGTTCATTTTATTACAAAATTATAACTAATGTATACGTCAGGGAGTCGATGTACTCTTATGTATACAATAAAATGTTCGATTTTTGATGTCGTCAAAATAGCCAATTGACATATATATATATATATATATATATATATATATATATATATTATTTTTATTATTTAGGAAAAGGCGACACTTTTTGAATACTACCTTTAGAATCCATCGTATCTGAGAATAATTCCACCGATTTTTGAAAATCGATGGATTTATTGCTAGTATTCTTATATGTGCTATTCCTAGAGCCATTTTCCTCTTGGCCTTCGATTTTAGTTTTTATGAGTTTTCAATCTTTAAATTGGCACTCTATTTCTTGCATATGATTATTGAATGATCTCTGAAGTTTATTCCACATATGAGAAGAGTCGACAATGCGACGCCCTTGCGCGCATGCTTTCCTGGATACGATTTATATCCAGAGGGCTATTCTTCAGATAACAAAATGATTGTTATCTTCACAAAGTTCGACATTTTTACTACACGTACCTGTATTTGAATTTGACTCCAGGCATTGCATCGTAGGTACTAACGATTGGATACTAACTTTAATAATCAGAACGCACATGCAAATCGTTCTGGGAGAAGATATTTTAGAAATAATTAGCAGGCAAATATATCGTCTCTGGTATAAAATATCTTTTTTTAATAACCAGAACGCACATGCAAATCGTTCTGGGAGAAGATATAATATTTTAGAAACAATTAGCAGGCAAATATATCGTCTCTGATATAAAATATCTTTTTTTTAATAACCAGAACGCACATGCAAATCGTTCTGGGAGAAGATATTTTAGAAACAATTAGCAGGCAAATATATCGTCTCTGATATAAAATATCTTTTTATAGTTTCTTCACTGCTTTTGTAACATTAATATTATGCGGTGGCCATAACATATTTGATTATCAGTGTTAATCCATGACTGTGGAACTACTTGGCACCAATCTGTACCAACGGCAACATTAAACATCTGAAAAATTGCAACAAAATTTATAAAATTAAAATACATGTTAACACAAGAAATTATAACAAGCAATTTGCTATTATGTAATGTATATACCTTGTAATCCCAGCAAACACCGATATATAATTGGTACATTGCTATAATAAACGGAATATAACAGGTAATATAACGTGTACGTTACATGTAACATCCATGTTAGTTGTAATTTCCCACTCATAGATGTAACATTTTAATATAACATATATTACATTGTAGTTATATTGTAATTATATACCAATAGCACATTGATGTATTGATAAGTCAGTGCTATCTTGGGATATAATGACAATATAACTACAATGTAATATATGTAATATTAAAAATGTTACATCTATGAGTGGGAAATTACAATTAACATATACGTTACATGTAACATGCTTAAGTATATAACATTTATATACTGTGTTTGCTGGGATATATCTAAATGTAGAAGTAGAAAAACACAAAATTTTGCCCCTTTCCATGGCAGTAGTACAGCTTTTCTTATACAATAATTTCATTAACGGAAAAATATTTCAATTCAGTTAAATTATTGTCACTGACCACAAAAACATTCATATGTTGCGAATTACAAGGATATAAGTCATAACTAGAATAATTTATATATTCTTGACCAAGTAAAACAGGGTTTCCATTTTTCAATCCTATGTGATGTGTCATCACAATTTTATTATTTTTAAAAAACAAAATCGATCAGCTTGCGTACAAGATAATTTAAAATCACTGAACTTTAATATATCGTAAGATTCAAAACATTCAAAAGGGAGTTTTTCCTTATTTTGTGAAATCAATATTGAATTATTCAAAGCATCATTTATACTTGTTTTCAATTTATTTGCTGTGTTTTTTTCGATTATTCTTCAATGTATTTGCTGTAATGGTTTTTCAT